TCTCTCTTCAGCGTCATCACTACTTCCTTAGTACAAGGTCTCTCATTTCTTTACCAGCTTACCATAACAATCCTTTTTTTTTTTTGAGACTGAGTCTTGCTCTTATCACCCAGGCTAGAGGGCTAGAGTGCTATGGCACGATCTCAGCTCACCGTAACCCCTGCCTCCTGGGTTCAAGTGATTCTCCTGCCTCAGCCTCCTGAGTAGCTGAGATTGCAGGCATCTGCCACCCTGCCCAGCTAATTTTTGTAATTTTTTTAGTAGAGACAGGGTTTTGTCATGTTGGCCAGGCTGATCTCAAACTCCTGACCTTGTAATCCGTCCATCTTAGCTCCCAAAGTGTTGGGATTACAAGCATGAGCCACCATGCCCAGCCACCATAATGATATTGTAAGTGGTCTCCTGTTTCCAAGTCTGACCTGCCTCCATTGATCCCTTGATCAATGGGAAACTGTTGCTTCCCAAAAACGACTTCTGCTCCCCAAGACTTTCCGATGTGCGGCCTTACCACTCACTACTCCCTTCCCCAACACAACTACCAATTAACTTGTATGCATTTATTTGCATCATATTTTTTTCCTTCTTTAGTTTAAATTTTCTCACCCCCTCATCATCCTTCTAAGAATCAAGTATCACAGTCACAAAAAAGATTTGTCCTCTCCACAGGTGAATATTTAGCACACTTCTTATAGTTTCACGCTATATAAGACAGAGTACATCTGAGTGCTGTTGAAGGAATCGAGCCCAGAAGGAAAACGTGCAATTGCAGTTGAGAGAGAAGAAGATATAACTCTAGGAGTGGATTCCTGGATAAAAATAGAAGTACTGGGTCCAGAGCATGCGGGCAAGAATCTGCCTTTAGTGAGAGCAGGGCTTTTCTTCTCTTGTAGTGAAAGATGCACAGAAAATGCAGATTCAGATGCTGTTGGTTTGCAGATGTGATGCCGGGTAGGTGTGGGAGCTTCTGTATAATCATGTAACTGTTTTCTAATTAAGGAATAAGGTGAGGTTATCATTAGAGTCTTGGGTAAATGGAACAGGAAGATTGCAAAGGTTTGAGAAGGGAAGATAGAAACAAATATCAGAAATAGAGACAGCTAAATTTGCAAGGGAAATCTAGTAACGCTGTTGAGAAAAAAAGTTATGTCAGTGGGTTTATGAATTTAAAGTGACATTCGTCAGCGTCCTTTTAAGGACCTTCCTGCACACAAAAATGGTCCGCTGCTTAATATCGTGGTGCAAATATAGAGAAAGCAAAGAGATGAGCTTAATAAGGGTTGCTGGACCTATTCCTGGTGAGCAAGACAACATATACTATACTGGACATTGTTCTAGGGATAGGGGTACAGCAGGAAGCAAAGCAAAACTACCTTCTTAATGAAGCTGAGATATTGAGGAACAAATAAATGACGCAGTTCCAGGCAGTGATAAGTGTTTATGAAGAACATAAAGCTAGATGGCGGTCAAAACAATTATTGAGTCAGTATATTCTCAATTTTCCCAAGGAGGGTACACGTCAAGCACCTTCACAAACAATGAATGTCTTACAACAGCAGGACTAAGTTCTCTAAATCTGCCTATTCTAGAGCAGAGTTGACAGTTGTTCCCAGTGAGGAGGTGTTTAAACAGAGACCAGGAAATCTTGCCTTCAGCAGAACTAGGAAGATAGGGAGGGAAAAGTGAACGGGTTGCAGGGCTAGATGAATTCCATAAGATTCTTAGAGTGTGGGCCACAGACCGCCCAATAGCTGAATTACAAGGATAAGAGATGTTTCTATTACACAGACGGAGCTAATGGAACAAAGATATTTGGGCAGTATTGGGGATAGCTTCTTGAATTGTTGAAGAGATTTTAAGGTTTGAGGATGAGGCACATTAAAAAAGACTGCTTGTATATATAAAACTATAATCATACCCATATAAATGAATTTAAGCACAGAGGCTGATGTAAGAATACTATTATTGATAAAAGCCTAATTATAAGCAAAGATTTGGCATTTATTTGTGCTAAGATGGTATTTAGTTTATAATTTTAATTTTGGAATCATTTCCTGATGGACTAGAAGAAACATGGGGCAAAGGAATTGGCTATATTCTTAAAATTTTATTATTTTAATTTTTTTTAGAGACAGAGTCTTGCTCTGTTGGTCAGGCTGGAGCAATGGCACTCACTGCAAACTCTGCCTCCCAGGTTCAAGTGATTCTCCTGCCTCAGCCTCCTGAGTAGCTGAGATTACAAGCATACACCACCACACCAGCTAATTTTTGTATTTTTAGTAGAGATGGGGTTTCACCATGTTGGTCTGGCTGGTCTCAAACACCTGGCCTCATGTGATCTGCCTACCTCAGCCTCCAAAGTGCTGGGATTATGGGCATGAACCATATGCCCGGACTTACAATTTTATTTTAAGGGAGATAATATGGTTGGGCTTTGTGTCCCCACCCAAATCTCATCTTGAACTATAATCCCCATAATCACCATGTGTCAAGGGAGAGACCAGGTGGATGAAATTGAATCATGGGGGCGGTTTCCTCCATGCTGTTCTTATGATAGTGAGTGAGTTCTCATGAGATCTAATGGTTTTATAAGGGGCTCTTCCCCCTCCATTCAGCATTTCTCTTTCCTGCCGCCTTGTAAAGAAGATGCCTTCACCTTCTGCCATGATTGTTAGTTTCCTGAGGCCTCCTCTAGACATGCTGAACTGTGAGTCAATTAAACTTCTTTTCTTTATAGATTACCCAGTCTCTGGCAGTTCTTTATAGCAGTATGAAAATGGCCTAGTACAGGAAACATATTTTGAACTCCATTGTTTCCCTATATGTTATTGAAAACAGCTTTGAGACTGACTATGTTTAAAGCTAGACTTTTATTCTTTCCTATTTTTGACATGCTTGATCTATACACATTTGCTGTACATAGGTCTCTCCACAGAATTTTCTGTTGTTCTTTATGTTGTTATCACCTGTCTTCCAGGTAATGCACAAAGTAAGGTCCATTAAGACATACATGTTCTTATTCACTGCTGCAAATCATACCCAACAGAATACCTGGACATATTGAAAGCACTAAAATAATTTTTAAATGAACGAATAAACATAGAAAACTCAAACAGATGCAGAGAAGAAATAAAAAGGCAGCTGAAAGTGGTGGAAGAGGAGCCATGAAGACTCATCTTGTTTTAACTTAATGGCAAAAAGTGAAGCATTTCCTACTTATAAAGTACACGGGTTAGTATCCTTACAACATTATTTTCATTTAACATGGAGAAGTTTAAAAAATGTTGATAACTGAGTTTAATAATAAGGGGATTAAAAGATCTTTCTGTAAGACTGTTAATTTCCAAAGAGATACTTACACACTGAGTATGACTGGGCAATCCTGTCTTTCCTACCCGTGAACTACTACACAAATCCTAACCACCTCTAACTGCCTTTTAAATCATTATAAATGACCATCAGAGATATCATGTTTGACTGATCATCTGTGTTTTGAAAGCACAATTCCTAAATTCCAAATATGTTGCAAAATATAATTTCACTATTCAGTATAGAAAACACTAGTCTCAATGCCTGATCTATAAAATGCATATTCAAAATATTATATAATAAATCACATATAATGTGACCAAGAATATGAGTGACATTTATTTACATTTTGGATGTGAAATCCAGTAAATTGCTTGACCGCTTTTTTGAATAAATCCTAGGATTAAAGATTCCTTTCTTCTCATAAGACAAAAATGAATATTCTATGCTTTTACCTATATTACTTTGTTACATTTTTTAAAAAATATGCTACATATTCTTGATTCCAAAACCCCACTACATGGAAAAAGCAAGATTCATTTTCATTCACTAATAAGAGCAGAATGAGTTTACTGTGTTCCCTAATATTTAACTACTAAAGGACTAATGATTTCGGTCAAAGGATTCTTTAAGAATCAATGAGTAGATTTTCTACTCTGAGTTATGAGGACCTCAGAATTTGAAAATGATATTCACCTTGATTTATGAGTTTCAACAGAGTTCTGTTTCAATCTTCATAATTATCTTAAATGATTAAATAATATTTTCCCATTTTAAGAAAGCCGTGCCTAACATGTAACCAAATTGTAGTATGACTAATTCATTGTAAATCATCATTAATGATACTTGAACAACCTATAACAACCAATAAAGTATGGAGCCAATCTTCAGAGTGTTCTTGGCCTCAGTCTCAAGCCATGTCAGCCTCTAGGAGAATTCCTGAAACAGTAAGAACTTTCCCAGAGCATGGCATGATATAAATCTGATCTCTAGAAGAGATAGAACATTCCAAAGTTGAAATATTTTGAGTACCAAATGCTTTGATATAATTATAAGTTTCAGTGACTTCAAACATCAAGACTTTTAATAGATGTTTTTCCTCTTAACATTTTTGTTTATTATCTTCTAAAATTTTCCATCCCTACTTATCTCCTAGAAATGCAGGATGAGTCCATGAGATAACATTAAGAAAGTTTTTAAGCTCTCTGGAAGAAAGGTGTTGACTATCCAGAGGTATTAGTGTATCCCATTTAAAAAGAGCAAATAATGCTCTGAAGATCTAAAGAACATCAATGCATTTTATTCTTCGGGTACAATGTTTTGACAAGCCAAATAAATACCAGGTTGAAATGAGGTCATTAGCACAATTAAAACATAAAAGAATACGATCTAATTTTCTATCACAAAAAGCACAGAATTTTAAATATCTTTCCAAAAATGAGCTACTTTAACTAATATCTATTGTATTTACTGTCATGCTAACAAACAACAATAATGATTATCCACAAAATAGCATGTTTAGCAAACTGCTAGCCTCTTACAACTCTGTGACTCATAATTCAACTTAATCTGTTTTTCTGTAATGTCAAAATAAGCCCTTTTAAAGCAATACACATTTTAAAACAATGCCTTGTACCTTTTTTTCTTTTCTGCTGAAAGAGGAGAAAAACATAACACATCTCTTTGGAATTTACCTTGACTAATAAATTGTTCCATGTTTTCTTTGAAAGGCTGCATATGCTCTTTTGAGGAGACCTGGTATACTTTCCCTGCTTCAACTTCACAGGCTGAAATGAGAGAGAACATTATTTAGAGTGTCACACTGTTAGTGGAGCATTAAGACAATTTTTAAAACATCTTAGCTAATGTTAGAAAACTCCATTAACTTCCCTAATCAGCATATGTTTTACACACATTTGGAGACACCCAAATGTGGACATGAGAAGCCAGTGACCAGGGATTCCGTTTAGAGGGCTGTAAAAAGAAACTGTGCAGAATTTATAATCTCAGATTATTTCCAAACCAATCAGCTGGGCACGTTATATAAGCGCTAAACCTCAGTCTCTTCATCTGTAAAATGGGCGTGATAGCAAAGCCTGCCTCACAGTGCAGTTATAAGGATTACATCTGTTAAGAGACATCGAGTGTTAGAATGATGCTTGGCACAGAGTAAAGCAATATGTAGCTATTTTCTATCATCATCATCAACATTATTATCAACTGACTTCTAACAGAATTTTATTCCTAACTAAAGTCCAAATTTCTGAAAAAAAAAAAAAATAACATGGGTGGTATTATTAGTACAGCATCCAATAATTTTGGAGCATATATTACATGTCAGATCATTTTATCCATTATTTAATGTAATCTTTAGAATTAAGCCCATAAAGTAGACATTATTACCTCCTTTTACAGCTGAGGAAGTTAAGGCTCAAATAAGGCCCCACAGATAACAAGTAGCAGATTCATAACTAAAATCCTAATCTAACATCAAAGTTCATCCTCTTTCCATGCCTGCGGCATCGTAAATATCTTAGGTAATCTACAGATTCCACTTGGGTTAATATTAAGAAGTACCTCTAAGAAGATTTCTGAAGAAATGCCTGCCATTAAGGTGACATCAAGAAACCGGAGCCAGTAAGAAAATAATTCAACAATGAAAAGTACATTTTTAAAGACAAAACTTTGGATAGAACACATCTGATGCAAAAACAAGAAAACAAAAAAACCAAAAAACTTCTCAGTACAATTCTTAAAGTAAGGTTGCCATTTCTCCCAAAAGAATTCGTCATTGCATTTCTAACATGTTTTCTTTCTTTTATAAAGCTATAGTTTCCTCTTTTTACCCTCCAGTTCATCAGCTTATCTAAGCATGGGAATACAGGAAGGCTATATGATTAGCGCACATTCTTCCCAGCAAATGTACATGACTTTGGGCTTGGTAAAATCTAAGACCAGTGTAGGCAGATCCAGGGTGCTTTCTGTCTGTCTGCTTCTCACTCCTCACCTGTGCCCAGGTAACCTCTTGCAGGTTGGATGCTGCAGAATTTCTAACCCATATCCATGGCCCATGTATTTCATAGCTCCAGATTCAACATATGAAACTTCCACCAACACAGAATGCCTCACAGACTTCTCTAAACTTGGCACCTCTCTTATTCTCCCTTCAGTGCTGGAACTACCACCTAACCTAAGTAACTTAAGCCAAGCAGGAAGAGTTCTTCTCAACTCCCTCTCTTTATTCCAACATCCTGTTGTTTTTACCTCCATTCTTTAGTTGGCCCCATCTTCTCATTCCTGTTCTGTTCTGGTACAAATGCCCTCACTGGTCCTCCTCAGTCTACTGTGAAAACCTCTTATCTTGGCTTCCCATCTCCAATCCTCCACATATCCATGCTCCTCCTCAGTAGCCTTAAAAGCCATCCAGAAGACCCATCCACTTAACCGAAAACTGTTCAATGACCTCTGCACTCACAGCCACACCCTGAATACAGGAAAAACTGCAAAGCCTACACCATGACATGCAGCACTCGTGACAGTGTAGGCCTTGCCAACTTTCAAACCATCCATCTCTCTCTAGTCCCAGTATCTTCCGCAGACGCAATGCAAATTCTAATCTCTAGACCCAACTGCCCCTGGAAAGCATTCCCTGACCTCCCAACAGGGCCTGCTTTCCTCCATCCTCTGCCACTTGTCTCGAAGCAGGACGTGGCATCCCTCTTCGGTGTTTCGGTGTTTCCAGGGCATCTTGTGCATACAGAGTTAAAGCTACTTTCTATGTGCCAGGAATAGTATTAAGCATGCTCCATGTACTGTCCCATTCAACCCTCATAAAATCGTTTGAAGTAGATGAATATGCTCAGTTGACATCAGAGAAAAATGAACTACAAAGAGACCGCCCACATTTATACAGTTCACAAGTTGAGGAGGTGGTGTTCAGTATCAACCGCCACACGATATTAAAGTTATCTGTAACGGTGTGCCTTCGGTCCCACTAGACTGAGCTACTTGAAAGGAAATCCATCTTATTTCCATTTGTATGTGAGTGTCTGACTTAGGGAACAAACTGCTGTTGGATGGGTTAGTGGCTGGATAGTTACTTAAGTGGAAATAACACTCTAGATGTTGGAAGCTAGCAGACAGGGTTTAAATTCTAGGTCACCCATCCAGTGAATGTGCCTTATGATTTGGGGCTAATTATCTAACCTTTTCAGATCTTAGTAGTATCATCTGGTTGTGAATTTAACAAGATCTGACATGAGTGTGATGATTAGCCACGATGAGTTTAAAATACCTGAAACTCACTTTGTGCTAGCTAAGTACATGCACATAAAACAATAGCTATTGGCTACTATTGTTTTTATAAGACCAACTGAAGTTCAGTCTAAAGAAGTGTAAGATAAAATACAGTAGCTGTTTACAAAGAGCTGAAGTGTGGTCTCACGGATGACTGGGTGTTGACATTCTCTGTGCTGATCTCAAGGAAAGAGGAAGTTGAATGAGCAGAAGTTAGAGAGAGATGTCAGTTCTGTGTAAAAGGGATGGCTAACATTTAGGGAACTCCTACAGTGACATAACCTGCCTTCTGATGGGGTGAGCACTTTGTCACTAGGACTATTCAGAAACTAGCTGACTCCTTGTCAGCTCGTTTGTCCAGAAAGGGATGGGTCAGGTGGCAAGACATCCATAGTTAACTTCGTGTAGGTGGTATCACTTACGACAGCCTCATGTAGCCGGAAATTCTGCTTTTTAACAATGTTTCCAGATGCATATTAAGGATATACTTAAATCATGTTATAAATTTGAGAGTTTCCTAAAAATGAGTAAGGATTCTGAATATATGGAAGGCAAGTTATAGCACTTAAAGGAAATGAAGCTGAGATTTAACAGCCCTTCTTAACCATTTCAGCAAATTTCTAGCAATGTCAGGTGGCACAGTGTTCCCAAAAGTCTTTGAGCAATTTTTTTTTAATTTTTTTCTTTTTTTTTTTTTTTGAGAGAGAATCTTGCTCTGTTGCCCAGACTGGAGTGCAGTGGTACGATCTTAGCTCACCGCAACCTCCGTCTCCTGGTTCAAACAATTCTCGTGCCTTGGCCTCCTGGGTAGCTGGGATTACAGGTACCTGCTACCATGCCTTGTTCACTTTTGTATTTTTAATAGAGACAGGGTTTCATCATGTTGCCCAGGCTGTTCTTAAACTCCTGACCTCAGGTGATCCACTTGCTTTGGCCTCCCAAAGTGCTGGGATCACCATCGGCGTCTGAGCAGTTTCAAATGTACACGTGACCCAGATATCGATCAACTATCTACTGACTCAAGGGACTGCTCTAGGCGCTGTGATTACTGCTATGAACAGAACTGACAAAACTCCTGTCCTCAGGGAGCTTGTCTTCTACTATATTACAATCTTCAAGTAATGACTTTTCAATCCCAGTAACTTTTTAATTCCTAATAGGAAAGTAAAATCCTACTAGCCTCATGTCTAATAACATAGGCTAGAACGAAAAAGAAATCTAACTCTCAAATCCTATTAGCCTCATGTCTAACAACATAGGCTAGCATGAAAAAAAAAATCTAACTCTCACCTTGACTCATTTGGAAAACCTAAAAGCCAGAGGCAAGGAAGGCTAATATTTTAATTATTAGTCACAATTATTTCATTTCCCATTTTTAAGTTAAAAAAATTAATAACTGCCCTTTTCTTCACGATATCATACATTGTCTTGGGGTCTAGGATGCTATATGAACATTCTAACACTAGAAACTTGCAGAATCATCTACTATGTCTGGCGACTTAAAAAGGGACTTCATTAGCTGGGGAAGTAGAGAAAGATCACAGACTGGCTGTGACAAAGTCTTCTAAATGGTGACAACCATCCTCTAGGTCTTCATTTTTACTCTAATCTTTAAACAATAGAACATTCAACAGATAAGAAGATGGATGCTGTAATAATTTTCCTTATTTTAGATTAATTTTCACTTAATTTTATCAATATCCTTGGCCCATTCATATAAACTATATTTGTAACATCAATCCATGAAAAAACTATTTTTTTCTATTTCTTCTGTCTTTTCCCCCAACTTACAGAATTTCCTGTGCATGTGTAGAATTTCAGCTCTAGAAAAACTGTAGTCAATTGCTGGCAGCCTTATCTCATCTACAGTTCTCCTCCTAGATCATGAAAGATACCTGTCCAGTGTCTGGGTATTAAGAGTGATGTGCATTGTTAGGCAGCTTTTTCTTTATTAAGCAGCTCAAATTATTAGAATTCCCAAGTGTATACTGAGTAAATATCTTTACAGTGCACCTTCTGTGGCATGGTATGTCTGGAGGTTGCTTTAAACTATTCTGGATATAGTCACACAAATACTTGTGCAATTACAAAGTTAAAGGATGTTTTTAAAAGTCCACCATTGATAGCTTAGGTCTTCAATGTTCAGGTCACAGAATAAGTCTTCTTGTTTTGAGGACAAATTTCTTCTCTACTCTCATCTCCTAGCAGTCTCCATTTACTCTCTCTGCTGTATTACCAGTACCTAGAATAATCTCCCAAAGGCAATATGCATTCAACAATTCTTTGTGACATCAAAATAAACAGATTCACTGTATCTTCCTGTCATAGTGAGCTTCATGTTTACCTGCAAAATATCTTACTTATTTGAATTTCTCCAAGCCTTACCCATGCTATTCACTCAGCAGACATACTCTCAACACTTCCTGACCAGCTGTTGAACTTCTCCTTGTCCGTTCCCAGAGTCTGGTTCAACTGTCACCTCAAGACAAGA